AGGAAGTGCATCGTAGTTGCAATGTTGATGATCTTTCCTCATTACGCGCCCCGCCTTTCTTCGCTCCTTCCCTTTTCATCTCTCTCTGTTGACCTATTGGAACGGCACTCTCTGTAGCTCATTCTGTGTGACTTGCTATATGTTCAAAATTGTCCTCTGAGACTCACATTTTGATTATTTTCATTCTATTTGAGTAATTAAAGTAAGTATTAAAATATGAATAATTTGAAGAGAAAGCTTTGTTTGCACAATTTAGCTTAATTCATTTGCAATGTGTATCAGTATGCAGAGAAAAATTACGCGACTTGCTTTTAGCACACAGAATTTTTCCTTCTGGTATTTAAAAGTTTCGCGAAAATTTAAAAATTGAAATTCGGTATCAGAATTTTAAAAATTGTCGTTTGGAAAATTATAGCGAAAGTATACAAAGGTCCAAAAATCGAGGCTTAAATTAAGGCGAAAATGTGTCAAAAAGCGCCAAAAGCACAGTAAAAGAAAATTTTTAAAGCTCTAAGACCACAGTGCGAGCGAATTTTCAAAATTAGGCGCGAAGAGCACAGTGTCAGGAAATTTTCAAAACTAGGCGCGAAGAGGAGTGTCAGGAAATTTTCGAAATTAGGCGCGAAGAGCACAGTGTCAGGAAATTTTCAAAACTAGGCGCGAAGAGCACAGTGTCAGGAAATTTTCAAAACTAGGCGCGAAGGGGAGTGTCAAGAAATGTTCGAAATTAGGCGCGAAGAGGAGTGTCAGGAAATTTTCAAAACTAGGCACCAAGAGCACAGTGTCAAGAAATTGCCGAAAATAGGCGCTAAGAGCACAATGTCAGGAAATTTACAAAACTAGAGGCAAAGAGCACAGTGTTAGGAAATTTTCAAAATTAAGCGCGAAGAGTATAGTGCGAGCAAATTTTCAAAACTAGGCGTCAAGAGCCACAGTGTCGGGAAATTTACAAAACTAGGTGCGAAGAGCACAGTGTCAGGAAATTGTCGAAACTAGGCGCTTAGAGCACAGTGTCGGTAAATTTTCAAAGCACCTATAAGCGTGAGGAGCGGCGAAAGGGTTAATTATCTTGTACGAAGCGTTTCTAGGTGGAATACGAAAGGGACGAACAAAGTTCCATCGATCGACCTGTTTCTTCTCTCCACCCTCCTCTTATTTTCCCTCTCTCCAGGGACGCGTGGTTACCAGTTTTCAAGTGTCGCGGGTTAATGGAATAAAGGGAAACTGGATCGCGGAAGAAAGTTGTGCCGCACCGCGCGGCTGATAAATGTATGGAAATGCAATATCGCGAGTTAGCTCGTTCAAGAGGCAAAAGGGTCGCGTCTTGAGAATTCACCGTCTAGAGATGTTTAGCGTGTTACATCGGATGATCGAACGAACGCGTCGAGTTCGTTCGCGTGGGAAATTCAACGATGGTAATTGTAATTCACTGTGCATGGAATGTCTCGAAAACAACGTTTAGTAGATAATTCTGTCACGTCGACGGGAAGAATTTTTCACGGAGACTCGATGCGCTTTGTAGGAGTTCGGAGAATTGTTTTAAGGAGTTAGCTAGGTATTTCATTCGTTAGAGGTGTCTCTAGCTAGATTTAATAGAGGGTGCCTTCACTCTGAAGAATTTCGACTCGAGTATTTAGTAACTGTTTATGAATAACTGGTTATGAAATTATAGAAGATTTAACTCTAGCGCGTTCTTTCGTTCGTCTATACACTTAAGGTCTTTGGGTCAGAAAAGACCCAAGAGAATAGAAACTTGATAACAGCAAAAGTTGTTAAAAAAGTAAGAAGGCTGTGGGTCAAAAAAGACCCAAAGACTACATTAGGGTTAATTGAAACATGATTATGCATTTAATACAAGAAAATTGTAGCATGAAAATTATTTTCTCCGCTTAAACGCTTTGCTTACGAATGACCAATGCAAATTACTCTAATCCATGGCGAACATTTTTTTGGCGACTGATAACAGGATGAACCCTTGCTAATTAGAATCATTTCGTTGGTTTCTGAAATTTGGTACTACATTATTGATATAAATAAACTATCGATTCAGTGATCACTATAATACGAACTGATGTTTTCACTGTTAGATTGCGATTCAATTTTCGGTACATACGAGTAAACCTACTTTTCGTAAGGAAGTGCATGACAAAAGACTAACTCACATCCCTTTGTCTCTCAGCTTCTGTTCTATGCCTTAGTTACGCATCTTGCGTTTCACGCTTGCAAAACCGAAATAACCTCGGGTATAAAGTATCCAATTCTCTCGTACTCCCTGAAATTACACTGCAAATTTTTCTGCAACAAAATATCTCGTACCGTTGAAAAATTACATTTTTCAAAAAATCTCCGGAACCTCAAAGCTTCCAGGGTATCCTTTCACACCTTCAACCTAATTTTCCACCGATAAAAAAATTCATCACGCACTACACTAGTTTGACGTTCCATACCATCGCGATACTTTCAACAATAACCGTTGCACCTTCAAAAAAAGAAAACTATCACCTTTAATCACAATGTCGCACACCTGCGAAACCGTTCCACGCTTCAGCTTCGGCAACAATTACATCGTTCTTCATCAGGAACGCGTCTCTCTGTGTAAGAAAAGTCTCGTTAAAAATGCCGCGACTGTCCCGTATTAATTAGAACCGACGCCGAAGCGTCGAGATGGAAGATAAAAGGCGCAACACGTTCCCGAAAGCGCTTTCTAAACGACAGAGTCTCGGGTGCCGGTGGGGCGGGGAGGGGAATTTAAACAAAAGACACCCGGCCACGAATTACAATGCCAAGTCGAAACTGTTTCTCATAACGCGATGCAAATGGAAATATAACTGTAACGCGATGAGAATGGGCGCGAATTCAATCGAACCGAGTATAGTATATATACTTTTCTCTTCCTCTCTCTCTCTCTCATTCTTTCTGTGTGTGCGTGTGTGAAGTAAGAATGAATGGAGCCCGTTAGATGTGTTCGTTTCATATGCACACGATCGTGTTGTTGTTGGTTGTGCATCCACGATGCTCACACCGCGAACCAGATAGGCTTACGGACGCGTTTCCGTGTTTTGTGGCTGTTATCTGCGACAATAACAGAGGCTCTCACTTTGGACGAACGTTAATGCTTTGTTCGCGTGAATCGAGCCCGGCGTAAATTAGGCGAGCGACTTTTTATCGAGTCGAACAATATCCGCAGTTTTTTTTTTTCAGACTTAGTACTCTTCTGTGTAGTTTTGCGTAATTGGGAGGAAATTTGGATCTTCGTCGAGTTGTAATTGAGGTGGAATGAGTAATTAATATATAAATTTAATTAAATTGCAAATATAATGTATAATTTAATGTGTAATAATAAAATTAGAAAAATGGAAGAAAGATATATGTAAAATATTAGGTATGCAAATTAATTTGGTGCCTTTTTCACAAATAATAGTAGGTTGTTACTTTTTTTTACTTGTGAACGAAATTAAATTGAAATATAACTAATTCAAGTGAATTTGGAATTGAAGTAATTCAGATTGAATGATTTTTGCGGTTCAGTTGTTGTGGAAATGGTGTGAGGGCAATTGTGAGCCCCAAAAAATATTGAATTTTGCATTAGAAATATTTTGAATTAACATTTTAATTCATAGAAATTTGGGTAGACTTGGTATACTTTATCAGTGTTTCTTAAATGAGTCACTCAGACGCCAAATTAATTTCCTCCACTGTTTGATATTCTTGGAATTATAAATGAAATGAAAATTTTAATTATAAATTCTTGGAATGTAAGTAAGAGAAATTTCATAAATTTGATTTTACGGAGTCAGTCACTTTGGCTTCCGTTTCATATTCTTCCAGTTTTCATATAATCACATACTTGCCTCTTAAGTTTTCCGAAATAATACAACTTTCATAAATTCTATTTTCTGGAATTAGTCAAATTTGGCTTCCGAGTTCCTCAAATATCTCGACGCAAAAAAAGAGAAAATAAACTCGCACCACTTTCATAATCACCTAACAACAGCAAAAAGAAAATTCCGAAAAAATACTAATTTTATCCTCAAAATATTAATTTCCTCGACAAAATACTGCCTACGAACCATCGACAATTCTAC